TCTACAGAATATAACATTCTTTGAGTTAATTCGAAGCAAAGCCCGGGGCAAATATATATATATATATATATATATACATATATATATATAAACACACACACACATATATATATATATATATATAAACATATATATAAATATATATACATCTCTCTCTCTCTTTCTCTGTCTACAGAATATAACATTCTTTGAGTTAATTCGAAGCAAAGCCCGGGGCAAATATATATATATATATATACATATATATATATAAACACACACACACATATATATATATATATATATACATCTCTCTCTCTTTCTCTTTCTCTGTCTACAGAATATAACATTCTTTGAGTTAATTCGAAGCAAAGCCCGGGGCAAGTCTGGCCCTTTATTTCATTTTGACGCTTTTGACGATATTCGTGTTTTTAGTGATTTTAATAAACAAACGCAGCATTCGCATGCAGGCAAAATTGTAGATAAAAAGTGGTACGAAAGAAATAAACATATCTTTCCGGCATCCAGATGGGAAGTGGTGAGATAAACCCTCGTAAACCCTAAACCCTTGTAAACCCTTGTAAACCCTAGATAATTTGTGTGTTTGACTCTGTTTCTTTGGCTATCTATCTATCTATCTATCTATCTATATATGTATGAAGTGGTACGAAAGAAATAAACATATCTTTCCCGCGTCCAGGTGGGAAGTGGTGAGATAAACACTTGTAAACCCTTGTAAACCCTAAACCCGTGTAAACCCTAGATGATTTGTGTCTTTGACTCTGTTTCTTTGTCTATCTATCTATCTATTTATCTATATATATATATATATATATATATATATATATACATATATATATAAGAAGTGGTACGAAAGAAATAAACATATCTTTCCGGCTTCTAGGTGGGAAGTTGTAAGATATATATTAAACTCTTGTAAACCCTAAACCCTTGTAAACCCTAGATATTTGGTTTGTTTGACTATGTTTTTATGTTTCTCTGTTTTCTTGTTTGTTTATCTATCTATCTATCTATCTATCTATCTATCTATCTATCTATCTATCTATCTATATCTATATCTACATCTATATCTATATAT